ATTTATCTATGTCTACTCTACATCATATCCAATTTTTAAAAAATATAGCAAAAAAAAATGCAACCTCTGATATTGCTACATTTCGGACTGGACTACGTTGCCGCCAGCAGAGTCGCCGTCAACGGAGCCTGAGGCGGACATTCATCCGGTGGAGCCAACTCCATCCTCTGCCGAACCATCCCAACCCGGAGCAGGAAAACGCCCATCACTGCCTCCGAAGAATGCTTGCGTTTGGCCGGGGTGTACTATTAAGAGAGTCGTCAATATGAGGGTGCATGTTATGGGCAAACATGTCCCACAAAATCTGAAACCCTTGGGTCGTAGTTCTCGACGCCAAGCCCAACGGCAGCTCGTCGTTTCGAGACAACTGGCTGTAGCGTGTATAGGTGAAGGAGCCACCTTACACGAACTCATGATTCGCCTCAACCGAGAGAGGGGGATGGGAGAGTCAGGGGTTACGTTTGCAATAGATCATCGCACCTACCGAGCTACGCAAATGATTTGTGCGGAGATGGGTGGGGAAGAGCCCGGGGTGTTTACAGTTAATCCTGCTAATCACCCTGCATACTGATCCACTGGCGATTTTTGGCGGCTATTGCCGTCCGCGTCGAGCCGGGTGTCCTCCGGACTATCTTTCAGCGAGCGAAGGGGGAGGTTACCGTTCAACACGCTATTCAACCCCCTCAACCCCGTGGAAAGAGGGTTCGTCAGGAGGAGCCGAGAAAAGAGTTAAAGCCCAAGAGAAGGGCGCTTCCACAATCACGTGAGACGCCACATTCTTCCCAGGGCTCAGCGGCGAAGGCGTATGACGCCCATTTTTACCTGGACCGTCTTCACCTGGTGTCTTTTTGGGCCACTCATGGCGATCTGGAGCGGGCGGAGCCAGCAAGGGGCGACGTCCTTCCCATGTCTGTGGTTGGGGGTGTTACAGTTTACTGTGACCCACATACCTACCCCACGGCACGGGAAGTGCATTTCATCACTAGGGATCTACACCTGGAAGTTGCCGTAGGTATTCATCCGAAACATGATTTGACATCTGACCAATTTGATCGGCTTTACTCCCTATCAAGAATGAGGGAGGTGAGGATCCTAGGGGAAATTGGCCTTGATCATACCCGGCCCCCCTTGGATTGGTATCGCCAGGAAAACCTCTTTCGAAGAGTATTGAACCGGTGCTATGCCCATCACCAGCACCGGGTAGTGTATTTGCACCTACGTGGTATGGCCGGTGATCCCACGGCAGGGGAGTGTTACTCTCGGGCTTTGGATAATTTACGGCTGTCCCGCATCCCTCGGGAGCAACGCTTGCTGCTGCACAACTACACCTCCACCGTTGCCATTGCCGATGCCTTCCGTCATCATTTTCCCGCCATGCTTTTCAGCTTTTCGTTGGCCGTGAGTGGGTTCAACAACCAACAACGCCAGGCATGCAGGCACATCGAAGCTGTAGATGACAGGCGGTTGCTGCTGGAATCCGATGGACCACACTTCGCACCAGCGGGACATCGAGTTGGTTCCCCCCATCTTCTATGGGCAACAGCGGCAGCAGTTGGGGAGGTGCTCGGCCGTGAACCCTGTCAGATCCTGGATCTGACATGGAAGAACGGACGGGACCTTTTCTAAAAAATGCAGCATGCTATAAAGAAGATTTTATGTTTGTTTTTATATTTTGTTCTGGAAATTAATTTACTTTATATTTTTCAGACCCGGATGATTCAGCATAGTGAACATCCGAGAGAACGGTTTTTTGCATTATTCCCCGTTGAAGACATCAGTGTACGTTCACTGGGTTTCCTGTACGATATGTGACTCAGCGAGCCCATACGTTTTCCGACTGGTTATCAACGGGATAATGTCAAATCTTTTCAAATAAGGGAGGAGTGTAGTGACGGCCGCCGTCTGTTCGAGAGACCGATCAACGGTAACGACATTTAACCCCGGCATTTGTGTATTTGCATATCCTGCCCTCAGGTGTGCAGAGGAGGGATCGCCGAGATCTTGGGGAATTGTCGTCACTCGTACACCAGACTTCATGCTGAGAGCATTACCATACCAAACGATAGGTTTTTATGGTGTATCTGGTGTCCGGGTCTTTGCAAGAGTGCTACCATTTGAGTACTGTTGTGTTTGGATATATAATTGGAGTACTATCGCCTAGGAATACATCCTATTGGATAAAGGTAAGCTCCACTCGGTACCTTTTATATCACAGTGTATATATATAGGCGATAATTACTACAATGTGGATGTTCAGATCTCCAACAATAATAAGGTTGGGAAGAAGTGAAAAACGCTCAACCAATTGGGAAAATTCCACAAAAAACTGAGAGGTAGGTGCGGGTGGTGGTCTATAAATAGTGACGATCACTTTTTTATTATGGAATGTAAACTCTGCTTCACAAGCTTCAAAGGATGTAAACTCATTCAGTTTACAACAATTGGGAGACAGTTTTGTCACAACTGCAACTCCTCCACCTCTACGATTGACTCTAGGAAATGAAAATAATTTATGTTTGGCTGGCTCGCAAGTAGAACAATGACGTCATCATTCTCACAAAGCCACGTCTCGGTTACGAGCATCATATCAATGTCATTATCAACGATATATTGAGAGAAAGGTCTACTCTTATTACAAAGAGACTGCGCATTCCAAATTCCCATATTAAAAAGCTTGCAGATTGTTTTCACTGAACAAGTGGAGCAGTTTTGCTTGTTTAAAGGGCAATGACGTAATAATGTATCGTCAGACTCTGACGTATCAGCCATGATTTGTTTGTAACGTTTACCTCCACGACAGCCCCTTGTAGGGCGAAGAATACCCAAATCTTTTATATTCTTAAAAACTAATGGATCAAGCAACACATTAGGCTTAGTCTTAGGCGTCAGAGCAATTAATGAATTTTTACTGTAAATAATTAACCTTGAAGGTTTACAATAATGGAGAAAACCACTGTCTAGTCTAGGCTTAATAAGTGTAAGCTTGCTCAATGGGCAGAAAATGCTATTGTTAGCCCTAGAGGGACAACAATGACTGCTATATAAACCAATGGCATTCAGGTCTAAGCCTAGGCTAAACTCATTTAGAAAAGGTCTAAATTTATGTCTAAATATATACTCAATTATGTTTGAAGCAGCTCTATGTAGGTTTATGATTTTGTTGTGTTTACAGTTGTGTACTTCGGTTTATATACCTAGTGAGTGATCAGGGACTATTAAAAGAAAATGTTGAGGTAGGCTAATACAGTATTAAATATTTATTCATCTATCTTATTAGAATCATCAATTTTAATATTCATTCATTTATTCAACCCCATATTATTATCAAGGTCTTCAAACAGCTTTAAAAAATTTTTAACAGGCATGACAATATTTTTTTTATTACACTGCATATCTATTTAAATACAGATTACTGTACTGTAAAAAAAAAGTAAAATTTTTCCTAGGCTCAGTTTTCTTATTGTTTTGCCGATTTCATGCTTAAAATGATTTTCTTCTTATTTTAAGCCACTGCTAGACTACATGTGAAACGATTCCAAATAAAATCTAATTATATTTACAGGTCCTCTCTTTCATTCAAGGTCAATGAACATTACAACTTGTCCTTTCTTTTGTATAGGCCTACAACACACATTCAGTATCAGTACTACACCACCCCTTGGCCTAAAAAACTATAGTATGCAAAAATACTACTTTCACAATCTAAATATTACCAAAGTATTTTATTTAATATAGGCTGGTATACTTATATCGTATTCAAACTTTCGTCCAAATTACTGCACACTTTTAGTTATAGTTTTCTTGTGACATTATTTACACTTAGTTACAGGATTTACAAGAATGCTTGTGATTGGCTAATAGCGTCACTTCAGTTCTTCGTGAGTATGGTATGTATGCTGTAATTGGCTACTACCTTCGTCAAACAATATTTTTTTCGAAGATTCATATTTTTGGAGTCACGAATGATAATAACGATATATTTGGGGCCGAGTTGACTTTGGGCCAAGTTGACATGGGGCCGTGTTGACTTGGGGCCGAGTTAACCTGCTTTCGCCTAGAAATTACTAAAAATTAAGGCAGGGAGTTGGATTTTTGGTCATGTACCGTAGTAAGAGAATCTGATCACTTAATCAAAACAGTTTTAGATGGCGGCTTTCAGGGAAAAGCACAAAGGGGAAGGGGGAAAAAACAGCATTTATTGATTAAATATGAAACAGAGTGACAGTCATTTTGAAATTAAAAGAAAAGATGAGAATAGACGGCTCAAAATAAGGATGCCATCATAGGACCTGCCAAAATAGCAGCGTACAGTACCAATGAATGT